TGTGACCCCCCGAGCTCCCCACGTCAGAGCCCAGAGCTGGTGATGCAAACTGCTGGGCTGGCTGGTGGAACACGAGCTCCTGGCAGGCTCCCCTTGTTTTCCTGCTGTGCTCAGGACTGTTCCCAACCCTGCTCAGGGCAGCACAAAGTGCATTTGACAGGCTTCTCAATGAACTGGGCACAGCTTCAGAGCAAGGCACGAACCAAACCTGCTGAGCTGTCCCTGCTGCCCCGAGCAGCTGCTGCTCCCTTTGGGGTGTAACCTCAGGTTCCCCAAAATCCACATTTCCATTCCCATCTGCTCCCTTTGGGGTTCAACCTCAGGCTCCCCAAAATCCACATTTCCATTCCCACCCGCTCCCATCTCCCTGCTTCTGCCAGAGGTGACTTTTAGGATGTGCCTAAGATTCTGTGGATGGAGCAGAACAAATGTGCCCTGCAAATCTTAATTTTATCATTTTTGAGCTGACAAAAGAACCTCAGAGCTGTGTTATGGCTTTGATACACCTGAGCTGCCTCAGGTCAGGAGAGACTCTCACAGACAACAACAACTTGCTCTTGTTCTTGTTCTTGTTCTTCTTCTTGTTCTTGTTCTTCTTCTTGTTCTTCTTCTTGTTCTTGTTCTTCTTGTTCTTCTAATTCTTGTTCTTCTTCCTCTTTTTCTTCTTCCTCTTCTTCTTCTTCTTTCTCTTCTTCTTCTTCCTCTTTTCCTTCTTCCTCTTTTTCTTCTTCCTCTTCTTCTTCTTCTTCTTCCTGTTTTATTCTCCTTCTTCCTGTTTTATTCTCCTTCTCCTTCTCCTTCTCCTTCTCCTTCTCCTTCTCCTTCTCCTTCTCCTTCTTCTCCTTATTATTACAGTCTGTATCATCAGAGTGCCCGAATCTCCATTACAGTGTGTCTGAGCACACAAAATTCCTGTTCCCACTGGCAGGGAGGGCAGGAACAGCCTGACAGCTTTTACAATAAGTGGAAATTCCTTGTGGCCTAAGAACAATATTAAACTTGTTTCTCTGGGTCAGCAGATGACCTTGTCCTGACAGATGGCTCCGTTTCTGTGCAAGCAGTGAAGTCTGGCCTGGTTCTGATGTGGGCACCAATTCTGTGACACCATCCATTCCAAACCTCGCCACTCCCGCACCAAAGCAGCAAAATACCAATTTACAAAGAGTAATTTGAAAATAAAAAAACCCAGGCTGTTACAAAGCATGTGATCCAGCTACACCCTCCCCATCTAATGCTCCCTGATTTCAAAGCATGAAAGTTGCTGAGAAGAGACAAATAAATCTGTCAGGAGGACATGAAAATTCAAACTGCTTCATAAATACACAAAAACTCCTCACCCACATGGCATCACTGCCCTGGTCCTGTATTCCTCAGCAGCAGGGCCAGCACAGCTCCTCACCTTTGCCTCAACAGAATTATCTATAAAATAACTAACAATGTATAATTTCCCTTTCCCTTTTTTTCCTTTCCCTTTCCCCTTCCATCTCCCTTTCCCTTTTCCCCTTCCCTATTTCCCTTTCCCTGCTGTGCCCATTCATTACCCTGAGGTATTTCCTTGCCCTGCAGAGATGTCCTGCAGGCCCTGAGCATCCCCAGGGACCCAGACAGACAGACAGACAGACAGACACCCTGGACAGACCCCTCAGCACTGCAGGGAGGACAGCACCCACCAGGATGGGGTCCCTTGGCCATCACCAACCATCCTCAGGCAGGTCCAGCACCTCCAGAACAACCAAACCATGAACCATCCAGAACATGTGGGATCCATTAGGGCATTTCAGAGGAATTCACCTTCATTGTTCCCCCTGAAATATAAAGGTTATAAAACTTAATGGCCACATGACAAGGAAACTATATGAAACACTCGGAGATTTACAGAGTGACTGCTCAGCTCTCGGGGCATGTGGCTGGAAATTGCTGGGCAAAAGCCAATGAGCCCCATGGTCTGAGCTTTTTGGGCAGTTTTCTTATTTCTTCCTTTCTTTTTCTGACCTTGCAGACTGGTATTTGGTTACCACAGCAGCTCCAGAGTCAAACAGAAACACAGCTTGTATCTTCTTTCAAGTATTTATTTCTTTTGTGCTGTTAACACCAAGTAATGAAAGGAATTGTAAGGATTTTTAAGGGGAGGGGGGTGAAGGAATGAAAGCAGGAGAAAGGAAAAAAAAATATGGACATAGTGGCTTAATTTCTCACAGCATGTGCAGCACAAATGAACAGTAAACAAATCCCAGGGAAAAATGCAAACAAAGGCCACGTTTGCTCAAAGTTCCAAGGAAAACGCCAAGAGTGAGAGCCACTGAGCAAACATTTCTGCGATGATGAAATGCTCAGAGCCCCTGTGCTCAGCACAGCAGGCACTGCCCCCTTCTCCAGAACATCCCTGGGCAGCAGCAGCAGCCACAGGGCCACGTTTCCAAGCCCTGGTTTGGTGTAAAGCATGGAAATGTTGTAATTACGGCATTAAGAGGAAGCAGCAATCTAATCCAATGAGTCAAGGGCAAGTGTGAAAATCCAATTAGAGATCTGCCACTAGGGTTGGTGTACACAGAGTGAAATAATCAAGCAACAGATCATGAACTGCGTTTTGTTGGGATTTCTGACCCAGATTTTGGCAGTCCCAGCCAGGTGAGAAACTCATGATGTTGGCAGCCACCAAAGGGTGTTTGGGTGACCCTGAGGGTTGTGCCAGCAGCACAATAATAAATTATCTCATTGTGTGACACCAGGTGAGACTGTACCATTTTCTGTGCCACCTTTCTGTGTCTAACAAATGGAAGTGCTGTGGCTGGCACAGGTGAGAGTCAAACAGTCTGCCATGCTTTTCCTGCATTTCCTTCCTTCCCAAACCTCAGCTGCAGTGAACTCCAGTCCACTTTATTTTCTTAAATGAACCAAGGGTGAACGTGCAGCAACACAAATCCCAAAATACCATCATGCCATCCCCCTCATGTGGAAATACACCATGCCCTGATGTTGGGAGGTCACTCATTTCAATGAACTCTTTGCAGGATTTCCAGTGTGATTATTTTCCCCTTGATGAGCTGAGGCTGAGAAGCAAATTCATTGAAAGAAACAAAACCAAACTGTGAAATTTTTCTGCTGCAAGTAAAGGCAAATGCACTTTTGACAGCATCCCAAGTTGGGGGTTTTTCCCTTGAAAACATCCATGGGCACGTTTTTGATCACAGGATTGGAAATATGTCATGAGAACACACTCAAATATGCATTTGCATTAACACTGCTGCCAGAAGCCATCTCACAGTCATCACCAGACATCCTGGAGCCCCTAGAAAGCTTTCTGTGGGATTGGAAGGCATCCAGGCAGGAGAAAGCAAAGCCACCATGTGATTGGGATGGCCAGTTCCACAGGAAAGCTGCACATTAATGAATGGCAAGCGCTCAAAGGGGGAGTTATGGTGAAGAGCTTTGCAAGGAAATCACTGGCTGAGAACCATAAAATATCTGGGAAATGAAAATCTGAAAGAAATCTATGTAAAAATGATCCATTGAAAGGAAACAGGCTGATTTTACAGCTAGAATTGCCCATGCAAAGCAGTGCTGCTGTAATAAAGATCCCTGGAATACAAGCTGCTCCCCCAGCCTTAAAGGATGTGTGAAAGGACTGCAAAAGGACACTCTGAAGCATTGTGAAAATAATCTATTTTACTATTTGTGTATGAAATTGTCAAAATTTTATCTATTATTTTCACGAAGCATCATGAAAATAACCCATTTTACTATTTGTGTATGAAATTGTCAGAATAATCTATTTTACTATTTGTGTACGAAACTGTCAGAAGAAATCAAAGAGCAGTGCTGGGTATTGGGGCTTGCACTGTGTTTCTATTTTCCAACAGATGATTTTTACCTTATGATTCCCCCTCTAACCACAAAGTGAGGCTCTGGCCACCCACTCCCTCCCAGTCCTTCCCAGTTCAAATTCAGATCATGTAGGTGTTAAACAGAATGTGCAGCTATGAGCAGAGCTAACAGCTCCCTGGGGTTCAGCTGCACTTCATCTTCAAAGGAACAATCCTGAAGATATTTAGGGCAGTTTGCAGAGAGTCCTGGTTTGAAAAGGAAGTGGGTTTTTTTGGGAGGCTGTGGTCAAACCAATGGGGGCTCAGATTTGAATTTTGGCACCTGAGGACATGGATTAACCTCTGGGAACACAGGGCGTTAAAATCAGAGCACTCCCAGGGGAATTCTCTCTTGGTTCTGGTCCCTGACAGAGGTCAGGGCTCCGTTCATGTGGGGGTGGAAAATGGGGAGATGGAGGAAGAAGAATGTTTTTGCAAGGTTTTCATTCTGAGTTCTGTGTGTTTCTTTTTTCATATTGTAAGTTAATAAAGAATAAAGGTCTTTCCTTTATTCCTAAGCTGGAGCCTGCTTTGCTCTATTTCTGGTCCCATCTCACAGCAGACATTAAGGAGAACAGATTTTCATGGGGGCACTGGGATTGTGCCAGCCCCAAACCATGGCACAGAATTAATGTCTGAGGTGTGCCCAGGGCAGAGATGGGAGCAGAGATGAATCTGCAGGCACAGCACTCTGGCTCAGGAGCTCTCCAAACACAGCCCTCTCCAACAGGAACAACTGCAAGGGACAGATGAAATGATGAAAAATGAAGGGATCAGCAGAAATCAGACCTAATATAAACCCAGCTAAAATAAACTCAGCATGGCTCTTGTGGCTCATTCAAAAGCAGCTCTTCTGCACCGAGCTCAGGTCAGGGGAGGGATGGACAAGAACTTCCTCTGCTCTGTGCCTCTGGCAACTCTGACTGGCAATGGGAAGAGGTTTTGAAAGGGAAATATTGAAGATTGCAACTCTGCCTCCTACGTTGCATCACAGGAAATGTGACATCTCCAGCCAGAAAGTGTAACTGCTCCTAAATCCTGAGCTTCAGAATTTGAAAGAATTAACATTATTTTTATAATTGATGTGAGGTCAGAGCTGTGTGTGCTTGAATTCAAAGCCAAGCAGTAGATTTTACGTAAGAAAACTTGCAAGCCTGTCATTTATTTTTAAAACTGGAATGAAGATGCTTTGACTCTGCATGTGTAAAATTGAGATCATGAAGTTCAATTCTGTGTCCCTGGGATGATGGAAGCAGAGCGTTCTATTGCACAATTAAACAGAATTGTTTGTAAATAATTGATGTGCTTTTTAACATATGTAGAAACTTTTGCTAAAGGACATCAACATTTTTTTAGTTTTAATTTTTCTATGTCAGCATCAGATCACTTCTAGAGAAATTCAGGCTATATTTGATAATTTGATTAACATGCTTGTTAAACCTCAGCTAAACCAACAGGACAACAGAGAAACTGAATGTGGTTTAGGATTCAAAAATATTATAATTGTTGATCTGGGTGAAGAAGGCTTTTTGGCTATAGCAGACAGTTGAGAAATATGTCAGACTGCTTCTATTGAATAGTCAAAACCATCAGGATATTGAAAGTAACAGACTATTCAGCCACCAAAGCACATGTGATAGTGCTTGCTTGTGTTTCTCTCCACTGTCTTTTGCACAGTCCTTATAACAACAGTAAAATATTGCCTGGCTCCACAAGGGCTGTCCATGAATTTGCAGCTCTGATGGGAGCTCAGAACAGAACATAATGCATTTTACTGCTGGAAAGAGGAGAGCCAAGCTGATCTGGGGCTCTGTTTAATCCCATGGCTGAACTGAGTCAAACATATTCCTCCACATTTATTCCATTAACAAGGGGAGATGTGGCACAAGGCCTCCAGGAATCAGGAGCTGCTGTGGCTCCTTTTTTTTCTGGTACCTGAGAGACTCCTCCATTCTCTAAGGCTGACACTGACCCAAAGAATTGCTTTGCTCTCTGATGGATGGATTTATATATTTTTTTACCACCTATTTTGCTCCATTTAGCAGCTGAGAGAGCAGAGATCATGAGCTTGTCACCTCTGCTGCTACTTGTAGTAGGCAGAGTTGAGGGAGGTGTAAGACTGGAGTGAACTGATTCTGTGTGCCATGTCTGCAGGAAATCAGTGCTCCCAGCAGGCTCTGGGGACAGGAATTATGTGCTTGGATATCACTTGTTTTCCATCACTGCTATTTCTATCTTCTGCTAACATCCCTCTGACATGAGCCCTTTTTTCTTATCCCACATGACAGCAGCATTCATGTCACCAAAACAGCCCAGAAAAGCTGATCCCCCTGCACTTACCTCAGTCCTCTCTGCAAAAAAGAAAGGCACCAAGAGTTGGCTTTCCTGGAAAAGATAGCAAGGAATTGCCTCCTTATCTGAGAGCTGGAGTTAATGCTGCCATGTGGCAGCCCAGTGTCTGGGAACACTGATCAGAGAGTCACAGGATCACAGAGTAACAGGATCATGGGATCACAGAATCACAGGATCACAGAATTATGGGATCACTGGATCACAGAATAACAGGAGCATGGGATCACAGAATCCCAGGATCACAGAATCACAGGATCACAGAATTACGGGATCACTGGATCACAGGATGCCAGAATATGCAGAGTTGGAAGGGACCCACGAGGATCACTGAGTCCAGCTCCTGGCCCTGCACAGGACACCCCAAGAGTCACACCATGAGCCCAAGGGTGTTGTCCAGATGCTTCTTAAACTCTGGGGCTGTGACCCCTTCCCTGGACCACCTCTTCCAGTGTCCAACCACTCTCTGGGTGAAGAACCTTTTTCTAAAATCCAGCTTGAACATCCCCTGACACAATTCAGGCCATTCCCTTGGGGTCTGTCCCTGGTCAGCAGAGAGATCGGGGTCTGCCCCTCCTCTTCCTCTCACAAGGAAGCTGTAACTGGAACAGTGATGCCCAAGGGCAGCTGGGGGCCACACCACAAAGTGTCTGATGATAAAAAATCAGGGAAGATGTCAGTTCACGCAATCTTGATGCCCAGGGATTGCAGATTGTGGCCCAAGGGTCCAGCCAGGGCTCAGATCTGAGGCAGGAGGTGGGAGCTGTGCCCTGAACTCTCTTTGGACAAGCAGAGCCCTCCCAGAGCTCAGGTTTGTACTGCTTACCTGACATCACCTCCTTCTTCAGCCTGGAAAAATCAACAGTGTCCTGTGGGACCAGAAGTTTAAATCTGTTCAGAGTTTGTATGTGCAGCCTTTACTCTGTTAGTGCACTAGTGACCTGCTCAGGAAACCAAATTCAGAGCCAAATTCCCCAGGGACCTGCAGGAAGACAATTTTGGAAGGCAGGAGCTTTTTCAGACAGAAGCCAGCAGGTTTCTGAGATGGATTACAGGATGGATTTAAGGCATTGATCTTCCAACAGGGCTCCTCTCCTTAGTTCCACAGAGCTTCATGGGGAAGGAAGACATCCAATGGGAACTCCTCCCTTCTGTATTTTCATTATCATTGGATTAACACAGATAGGGAAATTTCATCTCTAGGATGCCTCTCTGTGAAAAGCCTGTACAATACAGAGGCAACCAACCCAGATAAAGAGAAATCCTATTTAAAAAATGCTTTTGCTTAAGAAAAAAGTAGGAAATGGAACCACATCTACCCAGTAGCACCAGGTCAGGATGATTAGTGACACAACCATGTCCTTGTAATACCCACACATGATGGATGGCCTTTGCAGCTGGAGAAAGTGAGCAGGGAGTCAAACTGACCCTTGTTTTTGCATCTTTGGGCTGCTTTCCCTCCCTCAAAAACCCAAGAGTCAGCTATCACTTACCAGCATATTGCAGTTTCCAAGCCAGCAAGCTACAAAATTAATTGACTGCTTTTTAGGGCATGGTGACCCCCTGGAATGAGCAGGAGTGACAACTTTTATAGACTTTGCATTTGGCTGGAAATCACACGCCTCTGTTATTATATAACTCCAGGGATGTAAGGTGGCATCTTGCCTCTGTCTGTTTAGGGCCATCACACTCCCCCTAAAATTGCACCTTATCTTCTATTTTGTATTCTCATATAAGTTTTCAGTCACTCTCCAATTACAGAGCTTTATTCCCTCATTTAAGGAGGAATTGTTCTGGGTTTATGCAGAAAAAAATCATTATAGATGCATAAAAAAATCACCACACTTAATTTTTTTCTGTGCCTCTTACTATATAATTTCAGGGATGTAAGGTGGCATCTTGCCTCTGTCTGTCTAGGGCCATCACACTCCCCCTAAGATTGTGAATACAAAATCTTCTATTTTGTATTTTCATACACTTTTCAGTCACTCTCCAACTCCAATTACACGGCTTTCTTCCCTCATTTATGGAGGTTAGACAGGAAAAAAATCATTATATGATGCATAAAAATCATCACACAATTTTTTTCTGTGCCTCTGTTATTATATAACTCCAGGGAGGTAAGGCGGCATCTTGCCTCTGTCTGCTTAGGGCCATCACACTCTCCCCAAGACTGCATCTTCTATTTTGTATTCTCATATACTTTTCAGTCACTCTCCAATTACACTGCTTTCTTCCCTCATTTAAGGAGGTCAGGCAGGAAAAAATCATTATTTGATGCATAAAAATCATCACACTTAATTTTTTTCTGTACTAATATGTCACAATGCCCATAACAAAGATGAGCTATAAGGAACCAGTAAATTTGGACTCTTTGGGAAGGTGTGAAGATAAAAATTGTCTCAGAGTTTTGTGCCTTCAGTCCAGGCAGGCTGGGTCAGTGTGAGTTTCTGTTCACAGGATCTGCTACAGGAGAAAAGAGGGGGTGATATGGAAAACAAAATGACAGAATGGAGCAGAGGAACTCAATGCCTTGGATGGTCCAGGGGACAATCAGGGCTGAGGTGACCTCAGGAGAACAGAGGTGGTAAAAGGGCAGAAGTATCTGAATTTCCATCTTGCCCCAGGAATCACAGGATAGAAGAGAATGAGCTGCAGGGAGCAGGTGAAGTTCTGTTTGTCCTCCTGTCTCTCTCCAAGTCCCTGAATCTGTGGCTGCCACTACTCACAGCTCAGCATCTCCTTCAGAAAAGCTTGAGGTCAAAGAGGATTCAGTTCCCTGGAGAATGAAAGTGCTGCTGGTGACTGACAGGTTTGCTCAGACTCCAAACATGCCAGGATCTGAGTGCTGGGGAGGTGAGAGCAGCAAACAGTGCAGAATATTCTCATTCCCAGGGCTGGTGGTTGGTAAAAATGCAAAATACTGCATTTGACATAATCCTGCTCTAGCCCAAACTTAGGAACCAGTACTGTCAAAAAAGTGGCTGTCACCTAGATTAAATCTATTAAATCCAAGTGAAGAAATAAAAACAAAAGAGATGATCCAAGGATCACCTTGTGTTCTTTTCTCAGCAGTTGCATTTCAGCTCGAGGAAGGCACTGGGCCACATTAATGTCTGCTACAAGCAGATGTGTTCTCTTGGAAATCCACGCACCCACTTCTGCTGTGCCTGCATTAAGTCTGTTACTGGGTTTTAGGAGCTTTGGCAAGTGCTATCTGTTAATATCTGAAGGTGGGAGTGTTCAGGGAGTTGTCGGAAAGGCTTGCAAGACTAGATCTGATCATACCCACCCACACTAATTAACACATTACATAAAAGTACAACAAGTTTCTCTTTGCAAACATCAGAACCACTTGCCCAGGCACTTTCTGTGCAGTTCTAGAAGAACTTGAGGGACAGACTCTATTGCTTTTTAACCTCAATGGAACAATGGGTGAGTGGGGAGGGTTCAGCTCCCACTTTCAGGGCACGCTCCTTTTTGTCATGCTGCTAAAACCTGCCATGGGCAGGGACATGGCTGGAACAACCTTTTTAAAGTTCACCAAGGGTGCACGAGGGTGCGCTTTTTTCTCATCAAAAACCACAAAAAGAAATATTCAACATGAAGGATCAGATTCCTATACAAAGGACTCCTCCTCTCCCTGCCCTGCCTTGCTAATTCTGAAAATCACTTAATATAAACAGCAGCACTTGAAACCACCTTGAGCTGAAAAATCCTCCCATTTAAATTTGGCCTTTTTTTGGTGAAGGGAACATGTCCCAAACCAGCTCATGTTTCTCTATCATTCAAATTTTAAACCAGCAATAATCTCCTGTGTAAGAGCCATAGAGAGGACTCTTACTTCTTCAGAGTTTGCAGCAAGTAAAACTAATTTCTTATCAAACTCCTGCACTCCTGCAGCTTCACCTGGATTCCTCCAGCAAGATATGAGCCATAGTGAGGACTCTTTTCCTTTTTCAGAATTTGCAGCAAGTAAAACTAAATTTCCTATGAAACTCCTGTGAGCTGCTCCTGCAGCTTCACCTGGATTCCTCCAGCAGGATAATAAATGAATGCCCCAATCTCCATTTACTCCAGACTCTTGTATGACATCTGGCTTCAAGATGGTGGCACAGAAAAGTGCAGTGATGACACAGGAAAACAGAAGGCAGAAAATAATTGTGCAGTGGAGAGAAGGAGGCAGCAGAGAGAGCGGGGAAAATCAAAATTAAAGTAAATCAAAGGGCGGAAATTCCTCGGAGAAGGCCTTAGGCTTCAACAAAGCTTGTCCACATTTGCAGCACTTCAACATTACCCAACCCTACCCTTATGTGGGAAGGTCCCAGCAGACCCCAGCAGGCATTCCAGAGGAGCCTTTTTATTAAAAAAAAACCTTTTCAGAGTCTCCATGCACGTTTGCAGCTCGATGGAGCCCGTCCTGTCTGCAACACTCACCAGGGAAGGATCTCTCTTACCCAACTCCTCCCTGCTATCTGAAAAGCAAAGTTAATGTTTTCCTCATCATTTTCTGCTTGCTGCAAGCCTCTCCCCCACTGTGGCTGCTATTTGACCTGCTGTCTGCTCTGGGACCCCGAGGGAAGGCACAGGGAGCTCTGTGTGTGAGAGCAGACAGGATGAGCCTCAGCTCCTCCTGGCTTGTTTGTATTCATCAGAAAGAAAGAAATCATCAGCAAACATCAGAAAGAAATCAACAGTGTGTAAGGCAACCCTGGAGATAGGCAACATCTTTTTGTGCTGCAGGGAAAGAGCAGATCTACTGAAGGGACAGGATTTGGGGTGGATGGGGATTCCAGTGTGTTTTTAGCTCATTTTTGCATTGGGAAGTTATCAATGAACAGAATCTCAGCACAAAGGTTTAATTTCAAGGGGACGCTGCTCTTTCAGCACAGGTGATTGCACCTGCAGCTACAAGCCTGGCACTCCCAGCTGGGATTAATGAGAAACTGGAAAGGATCAGAGAGCACAAGGAGAAGTTGGTATCACCATATCAACCTCTCCTGATAAACCTGGTACCTTCAGTATTCCAGGCAGATCCTGGAAGGATCTGGAAGGAACCTTGAAGCATTCTCCTCTCATGGCACTTGATTTTTCACTGAGATGGGCTTCTCAAAAAAATTGACAAAAAATAAAGCTGGAAGCATCTACTAGGGTGTGTCTCAAAATCACAGAGATTAAAGTTTCTTTTCATCCTCTCCAGATATCCAGGAGTTTCAGATTAACCAGAAGTGCCACAGTGCTCCAGGTTACAGCTCGGCACTGACTCGGGCAGGAGAGCCCCTCCAAACACTCACCCAGGCAGAGGGACCCCAACACTTCTGGCAGCACCTTCCTCTGGGAGAGCTCCAGAAAGGAGAAATCCAATGGTCTGCAGCAAGGTCAGACCTGATTTTAGCACTCACACCTTTGCACCTCAGTTGCAGGTCTCCAATCTACGTGGCAGAACCAAAGAAGTGTTTTAAGCACAGCTCACAGCTTTTCTGATGTGCCTCAGAAGTCTTTTAGATGATAAATTTTAGTATATGGGTTTTTTCCTCATCCAAATTTCTGTATAGAAGCTCCTGGTCCATGAACAAATACTGCTTTAACTTTCTACAAAATGTTGCATTTGAATTTGCTGAACTTTTGACAGACATTTAGGTAGCCAGACTTGCAATTTTGAGGTAGGGAAACACCAGAAATATCTGCTTTGCAGGTCAGGGTGCTCCTTCAGGTGATGCATTTTGCCCCAAGCCATCCAGGACATCTACAGAAAAGCTTGAAATTCGAGTCAGGAGCCCTAAATTCACTCCTTTAATCACACATCCACCCTTGAGGCACTTCATTCAGGTGTCTACAGCTGGACTTGCTACTTCCTGTATTGCAATTATTTTAATTTCTCTGTTAGCAGTGCTCCAATGTGCTGCTCACTGCATTTTGCACAGGAATGCAGTGCTGCCCTTCCTAGGCTGTCAAAGAGAATATTTCACTACAAAAATAAATAATGTCTAGCTGCTTCTGGCACCTCAGCCCAAGCATATTTATCACTTCTGGCTGATCAGTGGCTGACTCAATGTTCCTAAAGCACAATGGGTTTATTCCCAGATGAATTCAAAATGCATTTAATCAGCTCTTTGCTAAATGTGCTCCCCAATTTCACATCTCATGAGCACAACAGCACTGTCTCTTAGAGCACTATTCCACTTCACTGTGCAGACTGATATAATGGATTTTCCTCTGCATGGATTGTGTCAGTGAATGTATGTTTGTACAAGCAGGCTCTAGTTTTAGTTCCTAGATTTAGTTCATCCCCAATGTGCTGCTGCCTACATGTGTGGCAGTCTGGGATTAACACTAAAAATATATTTATATTTTATCAGAAATGAACAACAACAAAAAAAATCAGAACGACAATTTCACATATGAATTCAGTGACAGAAAGAATCTCCCACTATTTAAACTCTCAGCTCTGCTGCCTCAGCCTTCCTGTCCAGCCTCCAGAGGGGAAGCACAACAGCTTTTTTGGGCCCAGAAAGAGAAGTCCTGGGTGGCCTTTAGCAGAGAAAACATTGCCTCATGGTTTGCTCCTTCCCCAGTGTGTGCTGGGAACAGCTTCATCAGGGATGGGAAGTGAAGAAAGAGAAGGAAGCGTCCATGAAACGTCCGTATCTTTTAGTTCTTCCAAGTAATTCTGAAGTTCCCCATTCAAAAAGCTGAAATGAAACCAGTGGCAGCTGCTCTGGAGAGAGGGCACAGAGTGTGTTTGGGATGGGATGTGCTGCCTCTCCACTGAGGCAGCCCACAGACACTTGAGAAACAAAAATCACATCTTAAAACTATGAGTAGATTTAACAATTGAACTCTAAAGAATTAAACATCATGGAAACATTTCACACTTTCTGTTTTTCCTTTCCAAGGGTCCATAGTCCACTCACTCAATCCTGTGCAAAGGTCATGTTACTATGGATATGACCTGCAAGAAATGTGTTGCCTCAGAGCAGCACAAGTCACATGAACAGGCTGAAAGCCAAGAGCTGCTGATTCCCAGTCCTGGAGGATTTTCATGCTTGTGCTGGGCTCACTGCAGAGCAGTCCTGGTGCCAGCCTATGTTCGTCCTTTAAAAGTGTTCATGCAGGTGTAGCTCCCAGAAAACTTGTGGATTTCTTCAAGTGCTGCCTGGGGGAGAATGCTGGTGTGGAAGCAGAAAGAAAATGAGCAGATGAGACAAATCCCTCAATCTGTTCTAATGAGAGATGTGTAAATATGGATTTATGGATATAAATACACAAATGTTCAAAAACCAGCTAGTGAGAGACACAGACAAAACTGGCATCAGTTTCCTGCTGTGAGGAGGTTACAGGGAGAAAGTTCCATCCAGTCACTCTTTCTCTACAGAAATATTTATCCAAAAAAGTCTGTAAAAGCTGTGCCTTGGAAGATACCATTATGTTTTATTCCTTCTAAATATAATATATATACTATATTATCTAAATATATATAGTATATACTATATATATATACTATATATCTAAATATATCTAAATGTAATATATATATTATATAATATAGATTATATATTATATACTCTGATATATACAGATTTAACCTGAATTCTCTGGTTAACCTGCCATCTGGTAGTGCAAGGCATGTGGCCTCCTTATCCTAAGGTATGGATAGAGACCCAATTTCCTGACAGCTACTGTAATAAAAATAACCTATTAATTCTTACAATAAAATGGAACAGCCCCTTTTCTTCTTGACAGAATTTCTGGGAACTTTTACTCTGAATTTTACATTCAGAGCAAAGCATTTAGTATGATTTTTTTTTTTTTTTTTTTTTTTTTTTTGTTTGAAGGCAATACTGAAATTATTTTCCACAGAAGTTTTATGGCCTTGGTTCAGTTCCTGACTGCAGCAGCTTTTCCACAGGTTTTAGTGCAAACTGTCATGGAAACACAAAGGTCAATGTTCTTTCTCTGTGGTTATTCCAGGATATGAAGTTATAATTTTTTTCCTTAGGAACCTTAAAATTTCAGTCCTGATCATACACAAAAATATTGATTTAATAGTTTCACTGATGCAACATAGGCAATGCTCTCTAAATGCAGATGGGATGTCCAGGCCTTATGGTTCAGAAATCTTGCACAACAAAAAGCCTGGAATCCAACAAGTGACTTAATAAATCCCCATCAACTACCTGTGTAAGTTAATTATTATGAAATTCCCTGGACAAAAATCCAGTTTCCGCCTCAGGAATCCAAATTTTGGGAACGAAACTGGTTTCCTGAGGGCTTATACAAAGAGAAAATATCTCCAAAGGGAATTTCAAAGTATCTCCCTTTTGCTTCCATGACTTGCTTTGCCTCAGGGAACAGACACAGAGCAAACCTTCCCTGTGCTGGGCAAAGGAAATACTCACCTTTTTAGGATAACAAGGACATGCATTGTCCATGGGAGGAGCAGGAAGGCTTGGTTCATCTGAACAGCTTCTACCGTCCTCCTGGCCACTGTCTCTGGCTTGAGAGGAGGAAAGAGACTAGGGAACCTGAACAGAGAAAATAAAATAATCACAGGGGAACCAAGCTCCTTCTTTAAGGTGTCACTGTCCAAGTCCTGCTACTCTAAGTTATTGCAGGTAACTGGCCTTTAAATATCCCCAGGACAGGCTATGTCTCTAAAAGAGGCAGAAAATTCCAGTTCCAGCCCAAAAAGCCCCAAAGCAGAAAGCCCAGTTCCAACCAGTACTACTGGGTTAGCTAAACAGTTAAGAATGTACATGTTGGTGCCCTCAGGGAGAAGTGGCAGAGAGTAATCAGAGCCCTGATTCAGGGTTTTTCCTAATTTGAATGCAAACCAATACCAAATGCTGCCTTTTCAGTGATGGTGTCTTTCCTTTTACTCTCTGTTCCTCTGTGCTTGATTCAAATCCTTGACAGGTGAAAGACAAATATTTTCCTCCATTGCTTTTAACACCAAACATAAAGCTTTTCCCAGCTCCTGCAATAGCTTGACACTGCAGATTTTCTTGACTAAGAGAGCACAATCTGTATTAAAGGTTATTTTACCCATTGTAAAAGATTCATTTGGACAGCCACTACTTGTTCTCTTGCACAGGGGTAAAAAGGAGGTACTGATATTCTCACTTCTGTAAGTGGCTGTCATTCCTTTCACTGGGAAATGTTTAAGTATTCCAGTGAATAAAGAAGGAACTTGTACTGTTAATTCTAAAGTAATTTGTAGACTGGTCCTTTTGCATGACCATTACAGATGGCTTCCCCTCTGGTATGGCTTGAAAATGCAAGGAAAAGCAGCTTCCAGTTCTCTCAGCAGCAGCCAGGGTGGTGCAGGAATATCCCAGCACACTGAGGGAACCAGTCTGATGGCTCCCAGGTGGCCTAAAGTGACCCTCTGTTCCCAGGCAGCCAAATGAGACATCAAATTCTCTTAACTAAATGAAGCATTAATTAGGAGTGTATTCTGATGATTCATTTAAAATGAGATGCTTTCTTCCAGCTCCCCTGGACTGACCTGATTCTCATGCCCTGGAACATCTCTGTGCTGGTGTGGAAGGGCAGGACTGTGGTGGCATTCACTCCAGGACAGTCCAGCAGCCCCAGGGTCAGGCTCTCCATGAAAGCAAAGGATGAGGCTTTGGAGGTGCAATAGTCAATGGCACCAGGGATGGCTGACAAGGCCAGGACAGAGTTCAGGCAAACAATGTGCCCATTCTGGAGCTCCAGCATCCTTGGCAGGAATGCTTTGGTGGTCTGAAGAATAAGAGAGATAAAAGAAAAAAAAATTTGCTTAGCAGTGATACAACAAAACCAGCACTGACTGAAAAAAATAAGGTGACACAGACAAAAGAAGCCCAAGTGTTCCTGTTCATTATGTAAGGAAAGGAAAGTGGCAGAGGACCTTGTTTTGTCATTTTCCGAGGTTCTAAGTGAGCAAAGTTTGTGTAGAAACACAACAAAAGCCTTTCCTAGCACATATATAAGCAGTACCCATAGATAAAGGCCATGAACAGTGCCTTCTATGCCTAAGAGCTTTTATAGGATAAAGTTTTCAACTAAGTGATGAAATCACAAGAAGCTCTTTTTCATTTCTATTGTCTGATTCCAAATGGACTGAGTTTCACAGCTCCCTTCCCTGTAGTCCCACACTCCTCTGATGTTCCCTTCTCATCACCACAGAGGAAACTGCTCTGTGAGCTCAGGCTTGGACAAAGACATCAAATGTGTTACTGGAAATCACAGAATGGGAATAAAGAGCATTAAAAACTGAGTACTAAAAAAATTATGGTAATTTTTGACCTCTTTCCTCTGGCCTTTGCCCCTCACATTGTTTTTTCTCTCTTGTTTTCAACACAGACTGGTTTTACCAAGTATCCCTTAGAAAGACCTACAGGCTGTAATCTGTCACTCTCCTCCCCAACTGTTCCAGATTGCAAGGCAAGATGTATTCCATTACCATCTGGATGGCAGTTGTCTTTTGTCAAGTGGGCAGTTTTTCTTTATCTCTTCCACAATCACACCTCCCTCTGGAGGGGACATCTGCTGATAACAGCCATTGAATGCCCCTCCATGGCTGATAAGAACTGCAGCATCCCATTGGGAGATGTGAGCCCAGGGGGAGGAGCCAAGCATTCCTACCTGGATATAATCTGGAGATTCTGGAACACCAGCACAGCTTCTGCACTGGATTCCCCAGAGGAGCAGCAGCTGCCTCTGCCCCTGGACCTTCAGAGGCAGAGACTGCACCTTTCTCCAGGATCCTGCTCCAGCAGAACCAGCCCTGACACTGCAGGAGGGCTGAGACACAATTCCAATGGCACTGCTGCCAACAGCCTGACCCACAGGGTGTCAGGTTGGGCTCTGACTCTGTCAGAGTTGTTTTAGTTCACTGCATTGTTTATTTTATCCTTTTATTTTCTTCCCTATTAAAGAACTGTTATTCCTGCTCCCATATTTTTTGCCTGAGAGCCCCTTAATTTAAAATTTATAGCAATTCAGAGGGGTGGGGAGGGTTTACATTCTCCATTTCAGGGGAGGCTCCTGCCTTCCTTAGCAGACTCCTGTCTTTCCAAACTGAGACATCAACTCTGGGTACATGGGACACAAGAGCTTCGCTCACCCAGAACTGTCCCAGGGTGTTTATGTGCTGGGATTTCAGCAGTGCATCGTCGTCGCTGTCCATCAGGCTCTTCCCATGAACCACAGCAGCATTGTTCACCAGGATGGTGATGTCACCCACCTGCAAAAAAAAAGGCTTGTGACAAAAGGTATCTCTCCCCACAAATCAGAGAGCTGAATAGCCATTATTGCCCACATACAATGTTATTTTCACAGTTTTTGACACTCTTGCCTATGGACTTTGTAACCCTTTGTATCACCTCATATAGCTAGCTGGACTTTGTACAATCCTATTTGCATGGTCACCCTTCTTTTTTCCCTATATATATTTTTTCTCATCAAATATTGAATCACAGAATTGTTAAGGTTGGAAAAGACTGAGATCATCAAGTCCAACCATCAACCCAGCTCCACCCCTGTGTTCAGCACTACCCCATGTCCCCAGGTGTCACACCCACATGGTTTTTGAATACTTCCAGGGATGGTGCCTCCACTATTGCCCTATATAATATAAAATATATAATAAAATTATCTATTATCTATTATATATTATGAGTCTTCTGTTCCTGAGTCTCCTTTTCTATAGAGGGGGCTGTTCTTTAACACTGAGATGTGTGAAGTGATCCATGAAACCTCCAGAGTAAACTATGCCAAGGGGCAGAATTTATAATCTGTGGATTATACTCTTCTATATATATATATATATATATATAGAATATATAATTATACATATATATAAAAATAAATAATTATATAGATATATATAAATATAATGAGTCTCCTCCTCCTGAGCCTCTACAATACATATATGTATTATATATAATGAGTCTCCTCCTTCTGAGTCTCCTTTTCTCCAGAGTGAGGCTCCCAGCTCCTTCAGCCCCCTCCTGTCACTACAGGACATGAAATGACACAATGTTATTGTGTTATTTTATTATTACAGGCTGCTCTTTTAAGGTAAAAAGAGAGCTTTTAATTTCTGACTCCAACATTTATAGATTTCTAAAAGTGACAGTGGATTGGAGGGTGACAGTGCCACCTCTCCAAGGACACGGACAAACCAAAAGTCTATCAACTTTCTCCTCCTCTATAAAAGAATGCAAAACAATAAGTTATTTGCATAAAGTGTGTAAGGAAGTTCGTTACAAGAATGTAAACATCAGATGACTTAGAAAATAAAAAATCAAGGTGACAGCCTCCCAAGCATATTTCTCCCAGACCTTTTCCCTGACGGCCTTGGCTTGCTGGTAGACCTCCTCACGGTTCCCCACGTCACAGATGAAGTAGTGGCACTCTGTCCCCATCATCCTGATCTCCTCCGTGGTCTCCTTCAGGCATTTCTCAGTCCGACCCCACAGGATGATCTGTAGCAAGAAATTTTTGTTAGAGTCCAACTGCTTCTGTTTCATATCTAAAATAATTAAAACATGCTTCTGACTTCAACGGGTTGATGGAAATCTTTGATGTGTTTTCACTGCCAGGGCTGTTGTTTTGCTTCATTTAAGAAAAGCAATGACTTTCTGTTACATGGGGAGTATCAAGTGGGACCTGTGTTCCACTGCTGATCCTCTGTTTACAGATTCTTTACAAGCAACACAAGCTGAAACAAAAACTCACATCTAAAGCCTAATGTGAGTGGAATATGGAACGTTTGGAAATTTTTCTGCATCATGTCATTTCAAATCTCTCCCTGTTTTTGCTGTACACATGTACAGAATGACAAATTTATCCTAAAACCACAGGCCTTCCTGAATATCTGGTGTGTTGTCTACTTCTTGTTTTATGTATGGAGAGAAAATCTGCTCTGTAGTAAAATGTATTTTTTCAGCCTAGTAATCACTTGCAATGCTGATGGCAGGCTGGTGTCTCAGGTGCATTTCAAACAAGTGCTCATCCTACAACAGACTTCTAAAGTGAGAAATTTCAAGCATGAATTTATTTTGCAGCTCCTATATGCAGGATTTCACCTGCCACTGCCTTTTAACACAATAAAAATTAAATACTGCTTCTTGCACAAAGAAAATTCAGAATATTTATAGAACAAGCATTCAAATAATGGAGCATGGATGTGATTTACAACGAGACATAACCAGCCAACCCTATCTGCATTTCTACACCATCAGTGAGGTCAGAAATAGAAATAACTTTAAAAGTCACCAGGTTCATCAACTCTCATCATGAGGCTTTGTCCAGTACAATTCTTTTTAGTGAGGCAAAACCATCAAATTTGAGATGGGGCTTCCACCACTGTCCTTCAAACATTAATCTGCAGCTAAGCAGATGCAGTCACAATATTTTTTCTGAGTACACAACCTTATTTGCTATTTCTTTCAAGGCTACTGGAAGGAATATAATTTCATCTCTGTTGCTTTTCATTCATTCATCATCTATGAATGAATTGATCTCTGGTTTTTGCTCTTCAACTAAGCCTTCTCAGCACTTATCATGTTATAAATGGTGAGTCACTGTTGTTCTGCAAAAAATAAATTACTGAATGGAGCATGTTACTGCAATCAGCTGACTGTTCTGTGAACTCTAAGAGCAAGATCCAAAGGAGAGAGAAGAAATGGTTGCTACATTGAAAATGCAAAATTATGGTGCTATCTCCAAGCACGTGTGATCCAGAATTACAGTTCCTTCTCACACTACTGTGTACTGAGTCTGTATGAATCTGACCAGTATACTGATTTTTTTAATGGTTAAAAATAAGCACACTGACACTTCAAAGATTAAAGAATCTTTGAGTTTTTCCAAAGTTGAAAGAACAGAAAGAAAAAGTATTGAATTGTATCACTGCCTGTAGCTCAATCCCTGCAATTAACTTAATAACAGCAAGATAAACATAAAAAATTACGTGTGCAGTATTCTTACCCCACAACAATCTCTGGCAGGGAGCTTTAATATGCTTATTTTTTAAGGACTAGCTAAGCTTATCTCATAACTGGTACTAAAACTAATCTCTGCAGGGTCAAAGAGCTCTTTAGTGAACCCCAGCAAGGCTAAAATGCAGAAATACCCAAATCCTCAACCACTTCCTAAACAAGTTACATTTACAATTAATCCCATTTCCATGTCATTGGCACATCTGTGAACACAAACACGCCCAGACTGATAAGATTTATATCCTCAAATTCTCCAGAGCACTAACAAATCTGGTTAACCAGAAACTTCAGAGTGTGTATAAATATGCCAGAGCCATTTCATGGGAAATCTTATCTCAGGGGAAGTAATTTTCAAGGAAAAAGCTGTGATCACACTTAAAAACTATAAGAAAGCATATGGCTGAAATTGCAGCTTGTGCACTGGCCTGGCTTCTAAAGTCTCAGCATATCACCCTTGGCCATCAGGGCTTGGCATCTCCTCAAAGCCTGTAAAACTGATGGCTATTTACTCACTTCTGATCCCAGGGCTAGACCAAGGAATATTTTTCATGTGTACACTGCAGCCTTGAAGGGAAATCAAGAACATGTGAGAAATTTCACAAGCTCTCAGGAAGTATTTACAAAATACTGCTCAGCTGCGAGCACATGCACACTTTGCTCTCCCTTTCACAACCCACGTGGAAAGGGGGAGGGAAAACCTCTGTGGAAAGGGGAGATAAAAAACCACAAAAAGTCAACTGCAAACATCAAGTTTGATGCCCACAGAGTTTTGCATCCGGGTGAACTTCACCCTCTTTGCAGGGTTGGATTAGTCAATGTACACACTAAAATATGAAGTGACTTGCTGAAGAGTGATGGAAGGTAGGACAGGAAGAGGAGAGAAACAGAAATAAGGTGTCAGACAAGGAGAGTAAGGCAGGAAACTGTGTTCACATGTCTAATACTCCAGTGCTTCTGCTATTGCTAAATAAAAAGTAGATCCCTCACTCTTCACTTCAATCTGTCTCAAACATTCCTATTCCCAGGAGCTACCACTGGTGCATCGAATGTCAGGAAATATACATGGAAGAACAGTTAAGCAAAGGATGACCTGTCAAAGGAACATCTGTCTGTGATGCAACTCTTGGATATACCATTTTTTATGCCCCAACAGTTTCATTGAGACCTTTAATATCCTATAGGCAAGTCTTGCAAGGTGACCCTGTTAAATCTGGGCCATCTGGGGAAGACAGAATCTGCTGCTTATCCTGCTGACAACATTAATTTCAACACTGACTTCTTTCCATGAGAAGTTTTCGTGTCTTTGATACTGTCCACATTCAGGTGAAGGCTTCAGCCTGTGTAAGAGAAAGGCAGTAAATAAAAGACCATTCTTTTGTGAGAGGTCCCTGATGGCCCAGTGGGAAGTGAGGGCTCCTGCCATCATTTCTGCTACTTTTTACAGATGGATAAAACTCGGAACTCAATACAACGTGCTTTTGGTCCAAATTCAAGCTTGACTGCTCCTATGAGATCATATGAGACTTTAAATTTCTCTCTTACATCTGGCCAGACTGAATTGGCACAGGTTTCTCCCCAGCCTCCCAGGACAGCAGATCTTACAGCGAGACAAGTCTGGAGCTGCTGCATTTGTCTCACACTTGAGGCTTCTGTTGCTGCTGAACATCTTTGGAGTTTGGTTTGCAGTCTTGTTGCACAGGCAACACAGCAGTTTTCTGATGTTTCTGATGTTTTCTGGGTCCTTACTCTCCTACTGCCTCCTGAGATTTGCTACAAACTCCTCAGGTCTCTGTGCTCCTATATTCAGCTACTTCTGCAAAATGTGCAATTAGCAATGATCATCCAATGCTGATGAACAAACCCTTCCGCTCGCTGCTGAGCCACAGTGGGCCTGGGGCTCTTTGCTGCTGCCCTGTGAGCTCCAGTTACCCAAATATTGGCTCTTCACTTCCCTTGGGATAAAGAAATATTATTCAGTAAACATCAGGAGAGTAAACAGCAAGAAAGTAAACATCAGTGAACATCAAGAAAGGCACTACTTCATTTCACCCCGCCCCAGCTGGGATTCCAGGGCTCTGCACTCATGAGGAGCCCCAGACAGAGCTGTGGTTTCAGAAATGGTCCATTTTATTGGGAAGCACAGTTTTTCAAATGTAGACATGGGGCTCAGAGTCTGGTCTGCCTCCTCTTTCCTTTCTAACTGCAAGTCTAAATTGGCAATAAGTGTGTCCCAAATGGAAGCTGAGAATGACTCCAACAGACACAGAAGTTCCTGTCTGGACAGAGGAAAATGAGAAGGAATAAGGTTCATGATTTCCCAGCCTGTCAGGATGCTGCACAGCCACCCATTCACCAAAACTTAGTGGTGGACAGAGGAATACTTAATTTGCATTTTGGATAAATTCTTGGACAGTTTTCCACCCTGGAAAGAATCCAGCCCTTATTTCTCCCTCCTCTCCATCTCTCACCATCCTCCCCTGCCTGCCTGTTCCTGCTGCACCAGACACCCTCTCCTCTCACAGAGTTACTGACCAGAAAATTGGTGAGGGCAGGTGCCCAGGGAGGTGGATAATCCTGCTCCAAGGCTTCCTGCCTGTGCTTACCTCGGTGTGACCCTGGGCTGGCAGCAGCCAGGGAGGCAGGTGGGGTGGGAAAGCCATCCCTGACATCCAGGTGGGATGGGAAAGCCACCCCTGACACTGCAGGTGTGATGAAAGCCATCCCTGATACTCCAGGTGGGATGGGAGAGCCACCCCTGACACTGCAGGTGTGATGAAAGCGATCCCTGATACTCCAGGTGGGATGGGAAAGCCATCCCTGACACTGCAGGCAGGATCCCACCACTGGACACAGGAAGAAGAGATTTATGATAATGGAGGACCTCCACATGCCCTCCTCCCCTTGATGAGCTTCAAAGTAGGCAGGGGCTGTGACATCACGCTTGGGGCAGATTTTCCCAGCATTTATTAATGGGGTTTTGCAAAACAAACCTTATCTGTCGATCTGGAGTCACAGAACTCCTTATCTGACCTTAGGAAAATCCCTTCAGCTGGAGGGGCAGGCACTGCATCCTCTGCTCCCAGAGGATTAACTCTGGATCGTTTAACTCTGGATTTAATCTGCTAATGAGGCCTGTCCTGAGGTCAGAGGGGAGTCAGAGGGAAGGGTTTTGCTGCTGTTGGACCGAGCAAGGCTGTTTAACAGAGACCTGCACTGGCTTTGTGCCAAAAATCCCAGTCCTGACTGCAGGGCAAAAGCCTGACTTTCACCATAGCACAAGAAGAGTTATGCTCCTGACCACCACAAAATCAGATAAAGCCACTGATTTATATAAACTGGTCTAGACTGAGGCTGCTATCAACCACAACATAAACATGTGATCAATGCCTCCAGAGACTGAAGCATATTACTAATGCAGGACACAAGGTTAGAGCTAACTTTACATCATTCACAAGGCTAGTTAAGTTGTTCAGTCTGATTTT